GACATGGTGAGTGTGACTGGGGACCACAAAGACGTCAGGTGCCCTAATCAGTGATGTGAGTTTACCTCAGGGCAGGCAGTGAGGATAACGACCTGGAGTGAAGACCTGGAGTGCCTGAAACAGCAGGCAACAGTCAGTAGCATTTTATGGACTTCAGGGTATCTGAAAACTTCCATAAGAATTTCTGAAAACTGGTTCTGATGAGAGTTACAACCCTTCCATATTGCTAGAAAACTGTCACTTCATCTGTGAGTTGTGCTCTTTCACTATCAGTTTGTGCTCACGCAATAGTAAAATGCAGAAAAGGTGCCCAGAACTGCTTGGGACTCGTGAAAAACCCCAAACAGAGTGAAAAATAATTGGCAGATGTTTTGATGAAATGACAATGATTTTGGCCCCACTGCTGAACAGGCTGAGGCTATCACTGGCTGAACAGCAGCGATGCCACAGGAGAGCCCAGCAATTTAACACAGAACAAGATATTTTTAAAAGCAAACTTATGTGATGAGAATCCTGAAACTGGTCCCGTACCTATTCTGAGGACTGTTTGCCACAGTGGCTCCCAGGGCAGAGAATTAGCCAGTAACTGAGGAAAGAAAGGAAAACTAGCCAGCCAGATTCAAGTAAGTAAACAAATAAATAAAGAAGAAAGAGTCTCGTCCCATGCTCCTGGCCACCAGCCTGCCACAAGGATTTAGGGATGGGCTCAGCTATATCTGCATATGTTAAGGGATGCTCAAAACATAAGAGGCTGGATGAGAGCAGAACAGGGTGGCAGCAAGAAGTTCCCATGCAAAAAACCCTCTCAGTCTTCATGAAAAACGTGAACAGCAAAGCAATTCAAAGACTCAACACAGTAAGAGAAAAACTCCTATAAAAATCTCACATTTAGGAACAAAGACAACTTCTAAAGTGTTTACATGACCAACACTAAAAGAGACGGGTACCAAGAGTTGTTTGGGAGGGTGCATCAGCAGAAAGCTCAAATGCAGAAGGAGAATCCAGGAGTAACTCCCTCAGGGGGGGCCAGGACACAAACATTCACTGTGTTTAAACCACACACAGGTCACCCCTGAGCTGAGCAGCTCGAGCAAACGATCAAGTGAAAACCCCAGAGCTCAGCCCAGGGAGTCCGTCCATCACTGGGGAGAGAACACAGGCTGGGGGCAAGCGGGGTGCAAACCTGCCTGTGCCCAGGGGGAAGGATGCAGCAGTCTCCAGGCAGAAGGCAGAGCAGCTCAAGTCCCTGGGCCCACAGAGCAAACAGCAGCAGGCTAAAGATAGTCCCCGGCGTGTAGTGCCATTGCACGGGGTGGATTTCAGCTGTGTGGAGCTGCTGGGATGAGACATTCCTCTCCCCCCAGGAGCCAGACAAGATTACTGTATATGGGCAAGTGTTCCCCTGCGACGAGCCTCTCGGTCCGTGGTAAACAGGCTGCAGAGCCTGGAGAGAGCTGCACCATCTCGCAGGGCTGCGGGGATCCACGCTGTCACAAACCCAGAGGAGTGCTTCTACCAGAGGGGCAGAGCCAGGCAGGAGAGGCTGAGGCAGGAGAAGGCCTGCAAACAGCTGAACAACAAGAACCTTTGCTTAAATTTTAGTAGCTTTTAACCATCAAATAGACCTTGAGCCCCAGACTCCTGGTGTTACTATGGGTCTGCACAAGCACAGAGACCTGCCCGTGGGACAGTGGCTGTTCCATAGGGGTCAGCAAGGAGCACAGCTGCTGCCCACTGCCCCGAGCTGGGACCACGAGTGTCCAGGGGCTGTGGAAGGGCAGAGCACAGGGACTACCCCAGCCTGTTCTGACCTCCCACAGCCACTGTCCTGCCTGCTCCCATGCCCAGCAGCACGGCGAGGGTCTGGCAGAGCAGGCAGCCTGGGAACGGCACCATCCGCCAGTGCAGAGCCTGGAAACCACTCACCTCTTCTGTCTCAGATCTGCATGGGAACACAAAGCTGGACCTCCAAGTTCAGACTCGAGTTCTCACAGGAGTAGAATGTTTTTCACTGACTTTCTACGAACTTGAGTAGAGCAGCATGTGGGGAGGAATGGCTCCAGCACAGCTTGTCTGGATGGGCGCTAGTCAGGAGAGCAGATCAGCTCCACAAGTACTGTGCACAGGTCATGTCATGCTCCCTTCCCAAACAAACAGTACCATCAGTGCAAAGAATGACTTTAGCCCCAGTTTAAATGACATACCCTAGTCTGGATTACCCAGTTGGTTCTGCTCTGAGCTTCCTGTTGCCTGACCAGAACAACTCTCTGAGTACAGGGACAGTGACAGATCGGCACATCATGGAATAGGTGCTATAGAAACCACACAGTTCTTAGAAACAAAAGATTTCTTCTCCCCCCCCTCAAAAAAATAACCCACTTAATTCACATATTTTCTCTCTATACTGTATATATATAATATATAGACACAATTTTCTGGTAAACATTTACAAGATATTGTAAAGAACATTGAAAAGATATATCTCCATTTGCATAACAATGCACACACACATACTTCAGTATACAAGGACACACAGTAATGTACAATCAATAAATAAATACTTTTTCCCCCAGAAGTTATTCAAAAAACACTGCTATTGAGCGGCCCAAAGACACTCTCAGTTAATACAGACAGCAAATATTGTGCAGAAGTTCTTGGCTGATTTTGTTTAAAAGCCAAGAAAAGAAAAACAGAAGCTTGAAAGCTAAAATGTTGCTTGATAAGACTGTGTTTAGATGATCTATTGACTCCTGTCCCCCAGAAAGGCGAGGACAGAGCGCTTCCCTCCCCCTTCAGAGAAGCTGATGCAGTCAGACTATTACCTGCCCCAGGACCTAGAGGGAACAGGAACAGCCTGGTAGGGAGGGCACGAGCTTTTCACTCTATTTTGTGGAGAGATGAAAGGTTCATAGGTGGACTGGCAGATCTGAAGCTCAAATGCATTTGTTTCCTGTGCTCCTGCAGACCAAGCGCTCTTTGGAGATTCAATGCAGACAATTGCTTCGAGACTTTCCTAGATTGTTGGTTCACATTTGTTTGTTGGGATGATGAGAAATGAAACGCTCCCCATCGCTCTCAGCCCCTGCTGCAGTCCTCCTCCCCAAGGGTCAGTGCGGACCCCCTGTTCCCTGGTTTGTCTGTCCCAGCACTGCAGCAAGACTAACTGATTGGCTCAGAAACTGCAAATGCTCCACCACACTCTGCAGAACTTTTCTGAAGCAGCAGTTTTCTGCAGATTCACATCTGTCTTTTTTTCTGCAAGCAACACCTGACACATGCCACAAGCAAACACAAAACACAGTCAGCGCAGACAGATGTTCCACAGAAGGCAAGGGCCCCTTTTCCCTTCTGGTGAGCAGCACTCCAACAGCAAGAGAAGAGCAGGGCCTTATCTTGCAGAGGGGAGGAGAGCAGCACACACACACACACACACACACACACACATCACACATTGCATGGAGGGGGAACACAAATTTTTGCAGCAAAACTTGAGAGAAAGTACCCTTATCGAGAGCTACAACCCAGCATCTTCCCTGCTGCTGACAGCACACGTCCATGGCAGCCTCCTGTGGCCGTGACAAAGCCCTCCCTGCCTGAACTAGACCTACCAACCACCCACACCTCTCCTTTTCCTTTAGTGGTTTTACCTGAGTTGAAAAATGAATCCAAACCCTCCCTAGTGCCGCCTTAGCGGGACACAGCAGCTCAGCTCTCGCGCTGGTAGTGCTGGAGAGGCACTTCATGCAGTGTGCTCCAGGGGCTGCAATGCTGGAGAGCCACTGCAGGAAAAGTGGCCACAGAAGAACATCTTCCAAAAGCAAAGACCACTCAGGGATCTTGGGTTATTTTCCTCTTCACAAGCATGTGAAAGAAGCCCACCAAGACCTAACTGGAGACTTTCAGTGGACTCAGAGGGCTTTGCAGCCAGCCCCAGAAGCACACAGAAAACCTGCAGGCACCAAGGGGATTGTTGGCACTGTCTAGCCTTGAGCAGCTGGTCTTTTAATTAAGGAAGAGGCATCTTCAGAGGGCAAGTCAGGACAGTCACCAAAGTCAGGAGCTCTGACTTGCCTTCCGAGGAGCTCTCCCCTAACAGGGGTTGCAGAGGAACAATGGGGAGACCAGACTCCTAGCACAAGCAGCTAGAGTAAGGCAGGTATGAAAACCTCAAGTCTAGAGGTCCCAGAGGAGGTTAGGACCAGATTTTTCAGTGTTCAGAGAGCGTTACAGAGGCTGGATTTTGAAAGAAAAACCCAGTGCTGAATTTGGAGCTCTTCTGAAAATCCATCCAGAGCCAAAACTCTTGTGTGCTCAGATACTGTAGTAACAAACAATGTAAAAGTCCCAGGGAGAGAACAGAGCCCTGAAAAAAATACTAAAGGGGACATCAAGGGACAAGATCAAAGGAAGAGGAATTTCTGTGATCAAAGCCCCTCTCTGTTACTGGCAGAACCTTGTAACGTTAGTTAGAAGCCCAGTGCTGGCAGCACCCCTGTCTCGCCCAGGCTGGCAGGGCTGGCTGGCTTCCCCGCGCCGCAGGGTAACGGCTCTGCAAGGCAGCAGCTTTATTTCCCTGCAACAAAGGCTGGTGAGCCCGTCAGCCCCGAGGAGGGCTGGCAGCTCTGCTCTCCCAGACCCCCAGCTCTGACCTGGGATGCTGGCAACTGCCTCGGTAGTTGTGGTGGTAACCACGTGTGCTGCCCTTCTGCTGCAGCAAGGCAGGGAAGTGCCTGCCTGGGTCCTGCTTCCAAAGCAAGTCCTTAGCAATAAAACACAATAGTACAGATCTTTGGTTAAGTCACTGAAGAGGCTGCGAAGATCCTGGACCTAACACTGAACACAGCACTTGGAGAGCTAAGGGTACTTCCAGTTTAGACAGCAGCAGGTGTCCAACTACCTTATTTCCATAGGTGTGGCACTTCGAGAACAAGGAGAAGGGGAGGAAGCATTGAAGGGGAGTTCTGGTTCTTTGTCTGGATGCCTCGACTTTCCCGTGTCCTTCATTTGTTCTCGATCAGAGTCTGGACTTTATAGACAAGGTCCCGAGCCAGCTTCAGGATCTGCTTGGTGTTGTGCCGCTCTGCCATTTCTGGAACACAGAGAGAAGGAACCCACAAAGAGGTTAAACCTGAGCAGCCCAGTGTCTGGAGGAGTGCTCCCAGCCTCACAGCTCTCTGCTTCTCAGCCCAGCTCCAGGCAGGAGCTGAAACTGTGAATTCCTGCCCAAGTCCCCAGGCACCATCCCTCGCAGAGACACCTGACTCTGAAGAGCCATCATTAACCAGCTCATCCCGGGGTGATTACAGCCAGCAGGAAGCACAGCCTACGCTCACAGCTCCCTTCGAGCACAGCAAGGTGGGCTGCTGCCAAGGGTGGCTTCCCCCAGGCACCACCAGACCCCTCAGAGCCTGACTGCTCAGAGTAAAGGGGTCTCTCTACCATCGTGTTCCAAGTATCAGCATCACACAACCACACACCACTCTGTTTGCTTTAAACATTCCCCAGTACAGCCCAGACACGACTGTCTGTAGTCAGGCAGACATGAGTCGCCTACACCTGAGCAGCTGCCACAAATTCAGCCCAACAGAACACAAGCTATACCATTGAAAAACTTGATGATGTCTGTAAAATCCATGTTGTTCTCCAAGATGATGTCCCGGTACATTTCCACCAAAGCCAGGGCTATGAAGAGCACATAGTGTGCAGAGGAAACGTGGGCAGCTGCCCAGATGGTCTCCCAGACGGCGAACACGTCGTCATACACCAGCTCTGTTAACAGAGAAAGCCCAGCGGTTACTCCACCAGCCAGGGGTTTACATTCATCCTGACTCACAGAGTTCACAGCAGCACTGGAAGGACACGCTGGGTGGCTTCTTCCCACAAGAACCTGTTCCAATTGGAAGCAGAAAGTCAGTCACCTGTAGAGACAAATATTCTGGCCTACAGCAGGTGGCACAGGCTTCGGGACACAAGCTCAGTGGAGGCTCACCAGCAGCTCTGGAACAACAGGTTCTGTAACTAGACAGAAAAGTCAACCACAAACCTACCAGGGAAAAGCAAAACAGGAACACAAGGTAAGAAGTTCAGAGGACTGAAGTTGCAGTGTATTGAGAAGCGAGGAAGCATGGCAGACCTTGCCTTCCCTCCCCATGTGCTGGTGTCAGCCACCTGCCCCCCAGCACACACCTCTCTTGAAGTCCAGGAGAAACCATCGGTAGCAGAAGTAGAAATGAGTGTAATCACCATTCTGGTGCATCAGCTCAAAGAGCTCGGAGTCCAGAATCTGCCAAGAAAAGCAAAAGGCAACTCAGCACCATGCACCAGAGGCACCAGCCATTCCTCTACCTGCTTTTCTCCATTCCCACTGCTCTCCTACTGCACCACAACATCTTCCACCCAGTTTCTGCCTCCTTGGCACTCCTGGCACATGTTACTCCCGGCTGCCTTTACAGCCCCCTGCTCAACCTCCTGCTTCCCACCACCAAAAGCTCCTCTCAGCCCCTCTGAGACCCCTGTCCCAAGAGCAGCTTCCCCTCTCTGGTTTGAGGACCAGGACCCCCCTACCTGGATCAGAGACCTCATGTTGGCAAAGTGGGTGTCCATGGCTCCCCCATGGGGAAAGTTCTGATTCATCCTCTTCATAAGCTCAGTGAAACAGCTGAAAGCCAGAGCCTCTGTGCAGGGACGAGAGACAGTCACTGCTCAGCTGCAGGGACACGGCTGCATCTGCACCCACATCGCCCACCCGCAGCAGGAACATCCCTCCCCAGGGACACAGAGCCAGGGCTGCGCAGCAGGGACTGGCCTCAGGAACACACCTCACACTGCAAGAGGTACACGTTGTCCCCCCGCTGGGCTCCTGGGAGTCAGACACCATCAAGGACAAATGGGATCCTGCCACCAGCTGCTCCACACCTCAGAGTGCAGGACCCTCCCACTGCAAAGGGCCCAGCAGATCCCCCCACGTGTTCCCACAAAGGTACAGGGAAAGCGGAGCAAAGCCACCCACTCACCGTCATCCAGGATGACCAGGAGAGGGGCCAGCAGGTCACACATCCCCTGCACGTAACCGATCTCAATGTGCTGCCAGATGTAGCTGTGTGAGAGAGCAGGGAAGGTGACCCGTGAGCCTTTCCCGTGCCACACAAGTGCCACAGCCTGTCACCTCGCTTGCCCGTGCCCTTCCTCCATTCCTGGGACTCCTACACGCTGCCACCAGCGCAGAGCAGCAGGCAGAGCAATCAGACCTGTTTGTTGTGTTAGGCCTGTGCTCTGCTCCTCTGCAGCTGGTCTGTAAATGATTAAGTTCCCGTGGTGACTTTCAGGTAAGGTACGTGTGGCACAGCCTTGGATCAACACCCCGCCATGGCCAACGTAGGGTGTTGATCCAGGGCTGTGCCATGGCCATTGCATGGAAATCCACAAAGGGAAAAGTGAAATGGAAAAGCCCAGCAAGGTGGGGCGGTTGGTCAAAGGGCAGAGACTGACAGAGTCTGTTAATGTCTCTCTCATTCTCACCCTTCCCCATTGATTCATCCTCTGGGTTCTCTCTGCACAATATCGCCTGCTTCATCTTCCCAGACCCAGTGTCCCAGGAAGCAGCCAGCCCTGCACAGATATCTTTCCATATTTGGGAAAGTCAAAATGTGTTCAGAAAGGACTCGGATCCACTGCTGGCACAAGGGAACAAGCTTTTCCATCCTGCCCACCAGTTTTCCAAAATTTGCTGTATTGTAGGTCTTATCTCAGCAGAAATCTGCAGCTCTGGCTGCCCGAATAAGTGACAGCTCTAACTGAAATAGCAGCTTCTCCTCATATTTGCAAGATGAGTAATAATATTTTAGCCTTCACTGCCCCTGAAGCAGCCACAGCTGCTGGGCTGGAGCTGGTGTGAGTCGGTGGATGTCACACAACAACCTCTTACTCACAGGGACTAAGAAAAGAGATCGGAAAGGCACCCAGGTATTGCTGTCCCCTGGGTAGGCACTAACCACCGGGTCGCTGCAGGCACTTCCTCATTAGCGCTGAATCTCTGCGGGCTGATCCTCATTAAAACATTTTCCAGCCATATTCCAGAGAGCAGGTGGGCTGTGCTGGGCTCAGACCAGGAGGCAGCGTGCCCAGTCCCAGAACCCTCTCCCTGCTTTGGCCAACAACCCGGACACACGGCAGTCACAGGGCAGAACAGCACGAGGCAGGAGGGCTGGACTCCTCGGTCTGGTAACCGCCCAGTCCCTGGAGCTGTGGCCCCAGTTCTGGGATGATGAGGGGATTTGGGGAAGGAAATCAAGGAGGTGAAGCCCCAGTAACCAGAACATAATTTGAGGCTCCAGACTTAAGGTGAATTCAGGGAAATCAGTCACCCATGTGAGGAGCCTGCTCCCGCCGCAGGGAGGGCTGGCAGGTCCCCGCCCTGACCCCCGCAGCTCCCACCTGCACATGATGTTGCGGAGTTTCTCCAGGTTGGCTGGGGTGAAGTACCAGTAGTTGCGGTCACATCGCTGCACGTCCTTCTCAATGCGGTGCAGGTTCACTGTGTACATGTCCAGTAGCTCTGGCTGCCCAACACAAAAGCCAAAGTTGATTTGTTTTCAAATAAAAACCCAAAAGAAAGTTGTAAGGGCAACAGAGCGAGAGGGCAGAGTTTGGATGGAAGGCAGAGAGCTCCTGCACACACCACTGCAGGGTCAGCACAGGGCAAACACACCCAGGAAGAAATCCCCTCAGCCAACAAGTGCATACGTACAGAGTAGGTGACCCCCGTCGAGGAGACAGCCGACGCTTCGCTGGTGGCCAGGTCAACTACAGCCAGAGAATCCAGCTGCGGGTACAAGCTCTCCATCTCCGGCTCCTCAGAGAGGTTGTCCTCACTCTCCACCAAGCTCTGCTTTTCAGCTTCACTGTCTGCCCAGCTCTCCACCACAGTCAGGGCCACAGCATCACGATCACGCAGGACCCCTGCCGAGCTCTCACCCACAGGAACAAAGTCAACGCTTCCACCAGCGGGAAATTCACCTTCCAGGCTGTCTTGGCCCTGCAGCTTCTCTTGCCGGGCACTATCCGAGTCCTGTGGGGCTGGTACGTCGGACCCACCAGCCTTTCCCTGAGAGCTGGCCGAGGATTTGTTGGTTTCCAGGGCACTGTCCTCATTGCTGAAGCTGCGCTCCGAGAATCCCGACGCGATGGAGAAGTTCTGGGAAGAGGGGTGGCCAGAATCAGGGGAACACGTGCCGTTAGGAACCGTCCCATTAGGGATCTTGCTTTGTTTGCCATCTTCCAGCTGAGCATCTGCTTCAGTCTGTTCCACTTCATCAACAGATTCAAACACCTGCAAAGCACGAGGCAAGAGCTGTATGAGAGCGAGCAAACCCCCTGCACTCAGCAAACCGTTGGGAACATGGGCACTACGTCCCCAAGAGCTGCATATGCAGCTCCCATTATCTCCACAGCGGGGAGGGAGGAAGATCTGCTTTGTACGTGCAGGACTCGTACAAGCAACCAGAGAAGAAAGCTGAGAGGACCTGAAGGCATTTTAACTTCTTATTGCTGTGCCTGGCTGTGGCTCCACATCTTCGCTATAGTGAGAGACAACTTCAGCCTGAGTATCTAGTGCTCTCTCCCATTTTAACCAGACCTTCTGAGGAATTTCTGGGCATGGTCCTCAGCCTTGAGGTTCCCCTGCCTGGATTTGGCAGGTCAGTGCTCAGTCATCTGCACAACTTGAAGCCCACAGGCCCTGCTCCAAAGGACTACGCTTTACTCAGCATAATATATTGGGCAGAATGTTATTTAAATAGGTTGGTTAAACACTGGGTTACTAACATATGGAGCAGCCAAGGGTCCTCAAGTGTGAAGGCCACACGGGGGTTGGTCCCTCGAGCCTGGGCAGAGCAGGCTGGTGAATACTAAACACCTCCAAGCCATGCACGGTTCTGACCTTATTGGCTCCAGGGACCGGTCTGTGAGTCATTTACCTCCTCCAACTATTGCTTCTGTTTGCCAGAAGTCATTACGGTTATTGACCAGTGCTCAGCAGAGAGCTGTGTGCTGCTGGGTGTCCGAAGGAGCAAGAGGGGACATAGCACTGCCACCCACCTGCGTGCTGGAGCTGGAGTCGCTCTGCAGCCGGGCGTGATTCTGTCGGCCAGAGCTGCAGCTCTGCGAAGACTGCAAGAGAGAGCAGAAAGGCCAGTGAAAAGGCAAAGAGCGTGGTGTCTGGGGCGGGGGGAGGCTCAAGCCACACCATCAGAGGTGGGCACATCTGCATGGGAAGAACAAGCAGAAAACACCTCCAACAAATTCTCATATTTGACCAATGAAAGACGTTCATGTCACATCAGCTCTGCCGTGCAGATCTGTCACACGGCACAGCACCCTGCTTCAGCCCACCGCTGACATTTACTGCTGGAGAAAGTGACAAAAAACAAAGTCCCAGGCCAATCCAGTTGTTCAAACACTGCATGTTTGGGTCTGAAAGGAACTGCTTTCTTCTGGCCTTTAGAGAGGTCACGCTGCCTCCCTGGAGTGCAAATTTCTACAAATCTCTGTCCTAATTTGGCAGCAACGCAGCTCATCCCGTCTTAGTTTACACAACCGATGAAGTCACAGGCTATAAAACAATCCCTCCAACATATTAATGTTTTTTCCTATTCTTAAAGGACAAATATTGATGTTTTAAGCCAGATTCAGTCAAGGCAGTCCCTCTACAAGTCAACAGCACCCTTTTCTGGCTTCCAGTTGAAGCACAGAAGGAAGCACTGGGCTTTGTAGTGACCAGTTCAGTGGATTCCCTCTGAGCAACCAGCCTCCAGAGCGAGTCCTCCCTGTTACCAGAGCAGCCCCCGTGCCTGGCTTAGCGAAGTTGGGATGTACAGAGCATTGCAACGACATCACACACAAACAATAAGGTTTTATGAAAACACAGCACTTTCTGCACGGCAGCAGGGGTTGTCCCCACCCAGCACTGTGGGTGTTCGCTGGGCAGGGCTCTGAGGCAGAGAGGAAGGGTGACAGTTTTCCTCCATTACCATGGGAGTATTTTATAACAGGAAATTTCAGGCTGAGATGGGAAAGGGTGAACCTTTGCATGTACTGACTCTGCCAGCTCCCCTCCCAGCACATGCTTCCAGAACAGGCAGACGTGGAGCCAAAAAACAAACCACAGCAGAGGTGCTGTGGGGACGGGGATGACTCCTGGGACTTCAGCAGCACTGACCATGCAGCCCAGCTCTGCTCAGCCCCTGCAGAGTCGTGTCATCCAGCTCTTGCACACAGACCCTGGTCTGCACCTGCCTTCCCTGCATCTCTCCCTCCCTGTAGGCACACACGTAGCCCACACAGCTGGAACTGAGTTCATCTCTTCCCAAAAGCATCCCCACAAACTCCCCAGAGGAAACCAGATGAAGCCTCCAGTGCTGCACCTACCGGGTCCTTTTCAGCCTGACCTCTGTCTGCCTCTGGTGCAGCAGTGTGAGGTCAGATAACCCAGCACCACGGGCTGTTCTCCTCCAAGCCCCCGTGCCCTTACCTCATTGCTGATGGTCGAGTCCCTGTGCATCATCCTCTGAATGTGGGAATCCAGACTGGCCCCGGAGGAGCACTTGGCCAGAGCTGCTGCGTGCGACTCCTTCTCCCGCTGCCGGACGATGGCCTCGCAGC